TTTCATTTCTAACTTTTAACTTTGTAATTTTAAAATTTCAATAAAATATTATTTTAAAAAAGGAAGTTATGTTTTATATAATGTACATGTTTTATAAGTATGATGTTTTAAATTTCCAAAGTAACTCTCACCCTTTCCTTATGTTTTACTTCTCTCCCTCTCTTCCTTTTCAGGTTTCCAGTCCATACTTTTACTCCCAAATCTTATTTCTACTACCTATTTTTACTGAAGTTGGGAGGAGGGATCTTTGAACATAAAAGTACATTATACCATTAAAGCTTCCTTTTTTTTCCTTCAGAAAACAAATGGAATTGGAGCATACTTTTGTTTCCAAACTTTCATTATCATCATTATCATCATTGTCATCATCATCATCCATCATCATCATCTTGGTGTGGGGGAGATATTTTTTCTATTATCATTCTCATTTGTTATTCAAAATGTAGCTATTAAGCAGGTAAACCAAAGAAACTATAAACTCTGACATTATAACTCAATAAGCTCAGCATTCTTTCAAGCACTTTGTGCCATCTGGTCTGGGGCGGGGAGGTTGTCAGAAATGGGGTTGGCTAGCCCCTTAGTGGCCTGGTGTGGCCTCCATCGGCCTCTTGGATTTTTTATCTTTTTTTCTATCTGTGTGTGCTTCTCTTTTTATAACTTTTAATTATGTATTTATGGTTTTAATTTGAAGTAAACCGCCCAGAGTGGGAAGATGGGCGGGGACAGGTCAAATAAATAAATAAATAAATAAATAAATAAAAAATATTTCCTAGATGAAGTGGTAAGATGAAGTGGTAAGACTTATTTTTCCAAATATTCTTAACAATATAAAATGCTGAAGAAAGCCCCATCTTACAATTTGTTTCACGACTCTAGCGCTTTCAATTTTTTCTGATTTTTATTAAAGGATAAGACAAATATGAGAAGTTTACATTTTGTGAAAGCTTTTGTTTGTATATTGTGTAGTGTTTAAAATAATTTTATAGCACCACTGTACATAATGTGTAACACAGTATTTTCATAAAAACACACAGGTCCCTCTTCAGAGGGCTAAACCACAATGAAGGAAGCAAGATATGGTAGGAATAAACCACAAGTAAAGGTGCCAAACAGATTCATGTGATGAAATACTCACTAAATGACATGTGGTAAAGCTTCTTCACTATCAAAATCTCACTCCAATTTGAAGAGCAATGAACTACCAACACATGCATTTTTAAAGTTGATTTTTCTCCATATTCCTGGTAGTTTATTACCAACATCCATTGCAACTTATAAAATCTATATATAAATGCAGAAGGAGAGTAAAATTTTTACAGATCCAAAGTAGGGTTTTTTTAAAAAAAATACTGTTAGTGGAAAAGTGTAGGAAATGCTTCAGTTTTTTGAGCTATGTAAACATTTGGAGGAGTGCTCCTAAGAGTATATGCACATAAATGTGCAGGAGACTTCCAAAGGCACTTGAAGCAGCCACGCCAAGCCTTCAGGAGGATGAGGCTGCCTGGACAATTCAAGGAGTGGCTTCAGAAAGTTGTGTCAGTTACAGCAACACCATAAGCAAAATGCTTCTCCAAACTGTTTGCGTACCCCTGTTAATCTTCATTTATGCCAAAGAGTTAGATTAACTGGAATTAGTTAAATATGATCCACTTAGGAAACAAAATAGTATTTTGTATATACTGAAACCAGAGTTTATCATGACTTAATGAGACTAACTTCCCCCAGCATATAATACACTAACTTGCCCTATAGCAGAGCTGTGAAAACATTTAACACATTTATATTTTAAAATCAGTCAGTTTTATATTGTATAAACCCTGGATTGTGATTTGTTGAAACAAGCTAATTTCATAAATGATTATCAATGTGGATTCAGACATTACAAGCCATATTTAATCACACACAGAAGCAAATGTTTCTGAAGTCTTTCTTGTGCCCACAGTGGAGAAGATGAGATGAGGCCGAGTTCAGTAATGTATTATTTTTTTTATGACTTCTGAATGCAACTCTTATAAGTAATATTTTCCTACTTCGTTATATTTCCTACAAGCTTTGAGATTTGTATATCTTGTCTTATCTCCTCAGAAGAAATAAATGGAATGTATTCCTAGGTTTTGCAATTAAAAGTACAACATATTTCTTAGTTCAGTCTTAAACATACAACATACCTACTTCCTAGTTCAGCCAATACATTTTTCCCCCAATGAAAATAATTTAAGTTCAGAAGTGAACCTCAGTAGAGAAAAAGTAATTATGAGGAATTTAAGAAAGCAGTACAAAGACTTAAAATCTGGATTTAAAAAATATCTTTAGATACTGTACTTCATTATTTTGGAAAACATCAGAAAATTATAATTTGAGGCAACGCCAATGGCTGTGTTTGAATACCAATTATATAAACACATACATGAGTATATGGAAGCCTCCTGGTGACTATCAGATTAATAAACTGATATATGAACAAGTGCTTGCCCAGACATTTAGCACTTTTACATCTCCTTTGTAGCACAATTAAACCAAGCAGCCTCTAACCACATTTTTTTTTTTCAAATTAGAGAATTCTCTGTGCTGGTTTCTGAACAAGTTATAAAACCAAATCATGTTTTGTGTGACCTAAAAGCTTATTCATTCTCTTGGAACTGGACATATGAACTGCAAGTGCTGTAGAATATTTTATTTGATACTACACTCGATAAAATGCCTCTTACCATGGCCTTGGCCTGGACTGAATGAAAGTTGGTGTAATTCTTTGGTTGGAGTAAGATACCCTTCTTTCCCGTGACGCTGGGTCATTTTTCCTGGAGTAGAAGCATGAGATTCATCACCGCTCATTACTGCAGTTGTAAAATAAACATCATAAAGATGATTAGAGTTAAGACATTTCACAGAATACTGTAGAATTTGTCTCCTCCCTATGGAGGTTACTATGTAAAATTCAACACAGAAAAAGGAAGGAAATGGAAGCTGAAGTAAAAAGGCAAATAATATGTGATTTCTTCAGCTTTATATTGTAAAGCTGATTTGCAGTAAGGCATACTGAGGCAAAAGTTTCATTGTACTAGATGGGTTTTGAAGGTCATGGGTTCAAGCAGGTTTTAAAAATGTATTGTTTACTCTCGAAAGGTTGAATGAGGAAGCAGGAGACTGTCAGATGGTGCTGGAGCTCCATCAGGAAATTCATAAATAGCAAGAAGGGGGATCACAGTTCTAGAGAATTTTGAAAATAAAACACTAATTTATGTTTAGAAGTGATAAGTACATAGAAATAAGTACATCCAGTCAGTTTTAAACATATATAAAGAAATTTAGAAAGTTGAATGGAGGCATATCCATACTTTTTAATAATTTTAAAATGGAAAAGTGGGATAATTTTAAACTAATTAATTGATAAGTCTTCAATACATGTACTGCATGCCTTATTCCTAAATTCAGTTCCTCTTCTTTCTTTTTAGATTAACTTTACAATGGCCTGATTAACTGGAGATGATGATATCTATGGTGTAATACATCTGGAGGGCACCGGATTGGGGTAACATGAAAGAAGTAATTGCAATGTGTTTTCATATTACATTGGTAATTTTCCCATGATTTGCAGATCCAATTTAAATAATTTTATTATAAAAGCATAGTGTTTTAGTCTTGCTTCATATTGTTATCGTCTATTAACTTTCAAACTGAAGTTTCCCAAAACTGAATTTCTGAAAATTATCAAACTGCATTCATATAATATATAGTCTACATAATCAAAAATCAACTCCCCTCCCTTCTGACTACCAATTCCATACTCAAAATTCCCTAAACTATGACTCTGAGAATCTAAACTAAAAAGGTATAAATTCTAGATTTATCAATCCAAACTCTATTTCCCAAACACACAGTATTTATTTCTGAGATTTTTTGAGAGGTTAATCCCTTTTTTCCTCTCAATATAATTGTTTGATAAATTTTTCCCATTTGTGATTTTTTATAGTCACAGTGCCCTCTAGAGACATTACAATTAAATATATATTTCTTACATCCTCAAACAATATTATTAGATCGTGCTCTGCAGATGAAAAATCTCATAGCTCTCAGAGCTGTAATATCTAATATAATCCAGAAGCCCTATTTACGTAGTACTATATCTGCTATCTAGCAAATCGAGTAGCAGAAGGGACAATGTACTTGCCAAAGAAATGCATTATTAGTCTACTTTGCATTGTCTTGCCCCTTTCCTCTTTCTTTTCAGCCTCATCCTCTCACTCACTGCAAACAGGGAAAGCAGCGTATGTATAATAATTTTGGGAGTCCTATGAAACAAGTTATTTCAGGGAAGTAATGATTAAAGAAAAAGCCTAACCTGACCACATTATTCTTCATTCTTACATTCCCCTAAACTATTTTGACAAGTTATTCTTTGTGTTTCATATACCAGAAAAATTAGAAATCTTGAAATGTCAGCATTTGCACAAATCTAAACTGTATTACATGATTTACAATGTTTCTTTTTATAAATGGCTGAAATGATAGGTGAAGCTAAGAGCAGTCCACAACATGATGGCAGGTGAGGCTCTGGAGTGAATCAGGGAATTCAGCTCTCTTACAAGTAAAAATTCCAAAATCAAAAACCCAGAAAAAGGCAATGGCAAACCTCTACTCCTGTGAAGGAAATATATGGGCAAGGCTAAACAATTTAGTCAAGTTTGGGTGCCAGATGTCAAGACTCTCTAGGATGAAGACATTTCTCTAGTTACTGGGAAAGCAATTTCATGAATAGACCTGGAGCTGATGCCATGGCCAAACCAAAGCATAAGGGAGTATTATCACTGATGCTGCCAGGACTAAAGGAAATTCTTTATTTTACAAAGGTAAATACAATTGGAAACTGAAACTTAAGAAGTATGAACCAAGGAAAACTTGAAACTGTCAAGTGGAAATGAAGAACACTAATTAGAAATTTTAGGAATAAATTGGACAGGAATGGGCCACTTGAAGTCAGATGACTAGATGATACACTATTAAGGGCATGAGCCAATATAAAGAAACAAAGAGGCAATGATACCCTATATAGATATTGCTAAGTATATGCTCAGTTATAGCCCCATAAATGACAGGATCATATCTGTTAGAATTAGTTAATATTCAGCAAAAATCTATATTATGCAAGTTTATGCCATTATTAAAGACATAGGTAAAAGGCACTGAAGAATTATCTGGCAAACTGCAAGACGAGCAAGATGTAGAAACAAAATGGGAACAGAATAACAAGTAACTGGAATGTTAAATCTGGGAGTTGAAGGAACCCAGAGTTACAGGAAGAAGTGAATTAGGTAACTGTTCAACAGGATATTTCCTTTTTTTAAAGTAATTTTTATTAAGAGTTTTAACAATAATAAAAGATCATACAAAATGAAATTAAGAGGAAGAAGAAAAATAAAGAGGAATGTAAAGAAAAGATAAAGAGTCATAAAATAAAGAAAGAAAAAGACATAAAGAAAAAGATATTTAAAGAAGTGACTTCCAATCTTCTTTATAGCAGTTACAAGCAAACTTAATCTCTTTCTTCCCTCTTTGAAATTAGGTTACGTAGGTCACTTCTTCCCATATCCCAACCCTTTCCCATCCACAAATCCAAAAATCATTAACAGTTCTTTCCAGTTTCTGCAAAAAGTCCATATAGGGTTTCCAGTATTTTTTAATTATTATCTTATCCCTGGTCGATTTTGTATTCTTTTATGCAGCATTCTGACATTCTTAATCTTTAACTTGACTTTAAGATGCCATTGTAGGACCTGATCTTCATCTATATCTTCCTCCTCCCATGTTATAAGTACTATTAAAGCTTCAACAGTCCTCTCCTGTTTTCACCAGGTTGTTCTGTAAATATTCCTGGTCTCAAACCAAATTCTTTCTCTTGTAAATCCAGTAACAATTCATTATCTTTATCATTTTTTAACTCTTGATTTAGTATTTGTATTTCCTCTCTGTTTATTACCTCTGTTTTATTTTCCATAATTTCCACCTTAACTTTGATTTGATTTGGCTCTCCACTCAATTGTCCTGAAAAATTTTCAGTTATTTTTCCTCTTATCTCTTCTTTCAGATCTCTTTTAAATTATGCATTCACATAAGCAATAATTTTTGTTGTTGTTGTTGTTTAGTTGTTAAGTCGTGTCCGACTCTTCGTGACCCTATGAACCATATTGCGCCAGGCCTTCCT